TACCAAAGTAATACAGGGCTTAGGAAAGAAAAGGGAAGTCCAGCCTTGACCTCTTACATGAGACATCCCTAAGAGAAGAGCTTAGCAGTCCCAGCACATGTTTCCAACTTTTCTTTTTGGTTTACATGTTTCTTCTTTTTTTTTTTTATTTTTTTTTTTTTTTTTTTTTTTCCGGTACCGGGAACCTAACTCACGACCTTACATTTGCCAGGCAGGCGCTTTGCCGCTGAGCTAAATCCCCAGCCCCGGTTTGCATGTTCCTACACCCCGAGGATAGATTTGAGGGTCTCCAACACTTAAGCTAATTAAATTTAATTTTCCGTTTTGGAGTTTTAGCTGACTGGAGGCTTAGGAAGTAGAGAAAGGACAAGCCTGGGTTAGGCGCATGGGTGCCTTTCACTTGTGAATGAATTCCCCGGATAAAGTGCCCTTTCTGGCAACAAGACAAACAGGTTCATCTAGAGCTCTAGCTCACTGGTGTACAAAGTCCTTCATAATCAGAGCTCACCTCCAGCCACCCCAGGAGGGTACAGGGGCAGCCATTGTGCGCTGAACTAGGTTTCACCTCCCTCCCTGCCCCCAAGAACTGGAAACACAGCATCGACTCCTCACACTGCCAAGACCTGCCTGCAGCCCTGCAGGGCCAGGACCTAGATGGTGGCCTCGCCAATGCCCCAATCGGGCTGCAGAAAAAGGCCACCTCACCTAACCTCCTCCTTGACACTCCAGAAATGACAGGGTGGGGAAAATCCCGGCTGAGTAAAATTCTGGCTGATTTCCAGAATTTCAAAGCAGAGAATATCTTTCAAGCAACTGATTCTGAAAAAGAGTTCCTTCAATTGTTATGCTTATTTTTAGAGCAGTTCTAGATCTCAGAGCCTCTCCTATCCCTCCTTTGAAAAGGCGCTGGAAGGGTTTAATGAAGGCAATCAGCAAGCTTCCCTCCACCGAGACACTAAGATGAATGGGGTTTGTGCAAGGAGAAGCCAGAGATGGGGCTGGGAAGAGGTATGCCAGGAGTGAACAACACCGGAAAGACTCGGAGAAAGGGAAGTCATAGACATTTGTAAAGATTCTACTCTCAACAAAGCTCTTTATCATCTGTTTTTCAGTATTCTCCCTGTAACCCTGGGGAACGTACCACTTTCAACGCTGTATTTTGGTCACACCTCCCCACCCACACTGTGAGCTCCCATCGGACGTGCTCCCTCGGTGGGTCTGATTATCTTTCCATCCCACTCAGAGTTGTAGACACAGTTGTTTTGAGCTGGTATTGAATGAATGAAGGAAGGAAGGAAGGAAGGAATGGATGGAGATACACTCAACCAGTGACACACTGGACTTACTGACAAAAGATCTTGGTTCTAGTGATGTTTGATAAATTCTCTGATGTCATTTGTTTTCATGTGAAAATAAAAATAAGTGGATGATGGAGATGTATGTTACTTTAGGGACCCCCTCCCCATGAACGATGACACTCAACTTTCATTCCCTGGGTAGCTTCTTCCCATCTTGCTGCAAGGCTTGGCCATGTGGCTTCCTTTGGGTAGAGGAATATTAGCACGTCAAGGCTTCATAAATGATACACACTGAGGCTTATCCAGCATTCCTGGCTCTTAACAGTCCTCAACTACTGTACAAGAAGTTTAACTTCTCTTCTGGACAGAACTTATATTGTGAGTTTGGGTTTTTTTTTTTTTTTTTGTACCAGGAATTGAACTCACAGCCTCATGCTTGCCAGGCAGGCACTGTGCCACCAAGCTATATCTCCAGCCCTGGACAGAACATATAGAAAGATCATGTAAGAGGATCCTATGAAAAGAAAATGGCTTTGTCACTAGGTGCACAGAAGGAGAAGACTTCTCATGCCGGCGTCCCAGCTGAGCCTCGCCCAGAATGCAGAATGATGAGAAATAATAAAATGACTATTGTCTATAAGCCACTAGGCTTTGGAGCGGACACAGCAATAGGAAACTAGAATCACTGCTGTCTTCATGGAAGTGTCTGGACAAAATGATATGACACGTCGTGGGGGTGGTTGTAAACGACAAAGGCTGAGCATTGGCGGAGCTCTTATCTCTGGGCCCAGGTGCAGGCTCCATTTCATGCTGATCTGCCCCCCAACCACGTTCACTGAGAATTAGCCTGAGGGACTCCCTTCTTGCATGAAGAACAGTACAATATTACTATTTAACCAGGATAACCTTAGGTTTCTGCTGTCACTCTCCTCCCTCTTACCTGGCTAACCATCTACCATTCCTTGTAAGGGCAAGGGCTCACTTAATGAAAAATGGCATAACATTTACAAGTAGACATATATCCAAAGAGGGAAGGATGTGCCAACTCCTTTTCTCTTAAGGGATGGTGCTAGGTTGAGGACTCATTAATTCAAATGAGGCGTGATAAATTTAAGTCATCTGTCTGCAAATGGTTGGTCCTTAAAACCGTAATACTAAATGAAATACATCAGACATGGGAGGTTAACTATGGTAAGGTTCCTTCAGTAGAAGAGACCAAAAATATGAACAGTACAAAGAGCAAAATAAAACGAGATGGATGGTAGGAAATAGGAAGGTAGACCCTGTGGAGTGGATATGGGGAAAGAGGGAAGGGGAATTAACAACGGTCAAGATGCAATATGCATATGTTTCAATCCCCACTGAATGAAATAAATGTAATTATTGTGCACTGCAAGTGTAGACTAATAAACACATAGAGTAAACTGGCCGGGATAACTTTTCTAACTTCATAATTCCAGTTTGCTTTTCTATTGTTTTCATGAAATAATTATAAGGCACAAGTAAGTACTTTTGAAATGGAGAAGGCTGAGGTAGAGAGGAAGAGAAGGAAGCTGCCATGCTGGAAGGGGCTGGGCCTCCAGCTGGGCTACATCCAGAATGGATCAACCTGGGGGTGTTATCAGAACCAAATTCCCAAGAGGCCAATCGATCAACCACAATGCCAGATCATCCACTTGCAGTGAGAAGTGCAATTTCCGGCTAGAGGAGGTAAGGTGGGAAGGGAAAGATTACTTGAAGCAGACTGCTTGAATTAATGAGGTTTTCCCGTCCAGAAGCAAGGAGACGCAGGGACCCTAGAGCATCTGAGAGACATGAACAATGGAGGACTTGAAGCACTCAGCTGTCCTAGCGTGTGGGCTCACCGGAATGGGGGGTGAAAGATAGCTTTGCCCTCTCCAAAAGGACAGTGGCAAGAGTCCCTTCTGTCGTGAAAAACAATATAACAGAACTGAAGAATTTGGAAAGTTCATGAAAAATCATTAGCGCCAAGCTCAGCTCAAACACCTCTGGAGCTCTCCTGCAGGAGAAGTGCTCATGGGGCTGGGGATTTAGCTCAGCAGCACAGTGCCTGCCTGGCAAGCTCAAGGTCGTGAGTTCGATTCCCGGTACCGGAAAAAAACAAAACAAAAAAGAATAAGTGCTCATATCACCCCCAGCTGCCTACTATTGTTCTTTTGAGTGCTCTCTATGTTTGTGGGGAGGCCAAAGCCCGAACTAGGAGATCTGGAAGTTGGAATTAGGTTTTGTTTCCTTGTGTCTAGCCGGTCCCAGTATAGTCACTGACATACAGTGGTGCTCAATACATGCATGTATCACTCCTTAGAAGTCTGAGGTTTCTGGAATCTGAAACATCGCAATTGTCTCTCCTTTAGAACACGATACTCCCCTTTTGTCAAAATTTTAAAGTGGGGAAATGTAGAGAACACCACGTCACGTGTCCTCTTCTGAGGCTATTGCAGTGGTGGGTGGGTAAGGCACTTGCCACGGTCACCTTGCCAGATGAGTCCTGTACCACTTTGCAGCCCTCCTGGTTCCTGGCTTTCAGATGCCTACATTCTTATGCCTCTACCTGGGATGGGGGCAGGAAAATAAACCCTACGAAGTTGCCATCTCTCACCCCAGGGACTCAGCCTAGGGTCACAAAGGCCTTTATGTCTCACTGAAATGAAATTTGCCTTCATCTTGCCCATTCAATTTTTTTTTTTTTTTTTTTGGGACTCAGCCTAGGGTCACAAAGGCCTTTATGTCTCACTGAAATGAAATTTGCCTTCATCTTGCCCATTCAATTTTTTTTTTTTTGTCTATTTGGTTCCAGGAATTGAACTCAGGACCTTGCACTTGCCAGGCAGGCACTTATGTCACTGAGCTATATCCCCAGCCCTATGCCCATTCATTCCTGCAGGTTGTTCCCCATGTCAAGCGGCCCTGTCCACGGGGAGTCCATGCCTCTGCTCCCCTCTACTTTTTGCACCTGGCTCAGACTTCTAGGCGGAGGCTGTATTTGGGTGTAGCGGGTGAGGGGTGGGAGCCCAGGGAGTAAGAAAACACTGAGCTTGCTGAGAAGGGAAAATGTTTATTCGTCTTGCCTTCACATTATTCTAAACCAATCTTTCTCAAATTGTGCTGCTCTTTTGAACTATCTGGGTTGCTCTGAAAACGACTAAAACCTGAACATCACCCCACAGGGTCTAATTTACTTGTTGGAGAAGGGTGCCTGGGCATCGCGGTTTTTCAAACTCCCCATTTATTCTCGGGCTGAAAACTACTAACACAAATTCATTTCTCTTCCCATCCCTAAAAAAAATCCCTTGCGTAGGTTAGCGGCCCATGATACCAGGCACCGGCTGCCCCGCAAGGTCTCAGAAAATCGGCGCGCGCGACGCTGCTAAACAAGGGGCGAGCGCGGGGCGTGGCCGGAGGGCGTGGCCTCCGGAGGCCCCGCCCCCGCACGCCTATCGGCGCTCGGTGCGGGCCCTGACGTCACTCTT